GGTGGGGCATTGTGATGTCACATGGGGGGTGCGGCAAACTTTACTTTTGCCTAGGGCAGCAAAAATCCTTGCACCGGCCCTGCAGACACTGCATTCCTGTGGGCGGACTCGGGTGAGGGATGGGGGGGGCGCAGCACTTTGGGCGGACTCGGGTGCAGGCACCGGGGGGCCCAGACCTTGAGCTGTGTCAGGGACCCCACAATTTCTGATGGCAGCCCTGCCCTGGGTTGTCTACATTTGAAAATGGTATGCCATGCTGAGGTTAACTCACATTCCTGGGTTACCATATGGTCTCAGAAGGCAACATAGATCTAGCAAACCAATCTGGCAAACTGAATTGGGCAAGCCCTATATTGACCCTGTAACTTTCCAAAACACCATAAAACCTGTACATAGGGGGTATTGTTATACTTGGGAGACTTTGCTGAACACAAATATTAGTGTTTTAAACAATAAAACTTATCACGGTTGAGAAATCACCAGTAAAAGTGCAGTTTTTGTGTTAAAATACCATTCTTTGAAATACCCAAGGGTGTCTACTTTTCAAAAATATATGGTTTGATGGGGGTAAATTACATTGACCGGCTTCAGAAATGTTCCAAATAGAACATGGGTGCACTGGAATCCACACCCTCCAAATAAGGTCTTTAGCCCCCAGAGAACCTGACACACCTATACAGGAGATGTTGCTGAACACATATTTGGGTGTTCTTTGGCAGTAACCCTTAAAGTTCTCAGTATTACATTGCTATGTGTGTCAAAAAAATCACCAATTATTTATTTATTGTTTGTAAATTTGGCATAGAATGGTGGTAAAATGGTTGCATTAGAAGAGTAAAAATACCCCAAGTTTAATACCTTACATTGTTTTCTTTTAAAAAATATATACATGTGAAGGGTTATTTAGGGATTGCTGACATATATCAGTGTTACAATGTAACTTTCGTCAGTTTTGAAAAAAATTGGTTTGGAAATAGCAAAGTGCTACTTGTAATTATTGGCCCTATAACTTGCGAAACAAAGCTAAGAACGTGTTAACATTGGGTATTTGTAAACTCAGGATAAAATTTAGAAACTATTTAGCACGGGTGTTTTTTGGCGGTTGTAAATGCGTAAAAGATTTTGGAGGTCAAAGTTAGAAAAAGTGTAGGTTTTTAAAAAAAAAATGTCATCATATTTTATTTTTAATTTTTTTTTATAGTAAATTATATGATATGATGAAAATAATGGTATCTTTAGAAAGAACATTTAATGGCGAGAAAAATGGTATATAATATGTGTGCGTACAGTAAAAGAGTAAGAGGAAAATTACAGCTAAATACAAACACCACAGAAATGTAAAAACAGCCCTGATCCTTAGCAGTAAGAAAATTGGTGTAGTTACTAAAGGGTTAAAGTGGTGAAGAACAATCCTCAAATTATGCATTGCAGCACTTAGAGGAAGTGATCTAGGATAATTTCCCCAGCACGTGTGAATGGGAATCGGCACTGGAGCAGCTATTGCAGCTCATGCACCTAACCTGTACTTAGGTGCATCAATAGTATAGTACTGGATACCGCACTCACCAAATAACCAAGGTGCTCTGAAGCCAGGGCTGGCCAGGCCTCCCTTCCAAGATATGAAGAATAAATAACAGGATCAGGCACTTCGGAATAAAAGAAATGGCAGTTTTTTAGGGCAAAAGCAGCAAAGTTTCGACCCTGCCGGGTCTTTATCAACGTGGCTACTTTCTAAGCCAATAAAGTTGCTATTTCTGTTATCCAGGAGTGACTTTATTCTCCTAACCTGTACTTGAACCCAGGGAAGCCACCCACACTACTAGATATACACAGAGCTGTAGAATAAGCCTCCCATTCATCCACATTTTGCAAAGAGCCACACATAAAAACACAGTCCCCACAAATATAATACCACTGACAATCCACATACACACACGCAACACCATAAGCAGCCTCTCACATGCAATACCACAAGCAGCCCCACAATACACACACCACCAAACACATAATAATCGTTGCACCACGGGTCTCAAAAAGCTGGTTTTAACAGCAAAAAAGTTGGCTTTTTTGGCTCTGCCAGCTTGCCGCTTGCTCTTATGCTGTGACATGGCTCTCTCCTCTGAGTCAGGCTGGTAGGCTTCTATTTTTCAGAGTTGGGCCTGGTACAGACAGAGCTAAGCTAGCATGCATCTGTTCCCTCCAAGTTCCAGGACATCCACCACGAAGCATGTTGTGTTTTGACACCTTTCTATCACGGCAAGCAATATATTTTTTTCAACAATTTGAGCTACAGTATTTTGTGTGATTGTAGCTGATGGGCTAACCTTCTGTCTCCATGTGCATCAACAATGCTTGGGCGCTCATTAACCT